TCGGCCTCCCAGAGTGCTAGGATTACAGGCATGAGCCACCGCGCCCGGCCTGTTTGAATCTTCTTTATTCTCATTGATTTTATGTATTTTTAGTCTATCAGTTATTAAAAGAAGTGTATTAGAATCTTTGACTATAGTTGTGAAATTGTCTGTTTCTCCTTGCAGTTTCCCAATTTTTGTTTTATATAATTTGATGCTGTGTTATTAGATGCATAAACTTTTAGGATTATTATGTGTCTAGATGAAATGACTCATTTAAAGTCTACAATTCAATGGTTTTTAACGTATGCACAGAGTTACTTAACCATCACCTTCAAGTTTAGAACATTTTTATTACCCCAAAATGAAACCAGTACCCATTAGCAATCACTCCTCATTTTCTCACAATCCCTTAAGCCCTAGGCAACTACTCATCTACTTTCTATCACTATAGATTCACCTATTCTGGACATTTTATATAAATAGAATCATACAGTATGTAGTCCTTTGTGATTGGCTTCTGTCACTTAGCAAGTTTTTAAAGATTCCACTATGTATAATACATTTCTTTATATGGCCAAATAATATTCCATTATATAGGTATACTATATTTTGTTTATCCATTCATCAGTTGATATTTGGATGGTTTTTACCTTTTGGCCCCTATAAATAATGCTACTCTGAACATTTATCCACATGAGTTTTGTGTAGACATATATTTTCATTTTTCTTGGGATATACCTAGGAGTGGAATTCTAGGTCAAATGATAACTCTATGTTTAACCTTTTGAATAACTACCAGGCTGTTTTCCAAAGCTGCTATACCATTTTACATGCCTTCCAGCAATGTATGAGGTTCTAATTTCTCCACGTTCTCTCCAACACTAGTTACTATCTATCTTTTTTTATTATAGCCATCCTACTGGGTATGAAGTGGTATCTCATTGTGATTTTGATTTGGACTTCTCTGATGGCTAATTTTGTTGAACATGTTTTCATGTGCATGGTGGCAATTTGTGTATCTTCTTAGGAAAATGTCTATTCAGATCCTTAATTCGTTTTTAAAATTGAGTTGTCTTATTGAGTTGTGAGAGTTTTTATATATATTCTAAATACAGGTCTTTTATCAGCTATATGATTTGTTCTCCCATTGTATAGGTTGTCTTTTGCTTTCTTCATGGTGGCTTATCTCTTATCATCACTTTTACTTTTTCCTTATTTGTGTTTTTGTATTTAAGGTAGATTTTTTTAGGCAGTATATAGTTGAGTCTTAGTTTTTTAGTCCATTCTGACAGTATATGCCTTTTAATTTGTGTGTATAGACTCTTTATATATCAAGTCATCATTGACATAGTTAAAGATTACCATCTTCTGATTTGTTTTCTTTTTTGTTTTTTTTCCTCTTTCTGCTTTTATTTGAATTAATTGAATATTTTTTATGATTCTATTTCATCTTTTTTGTTGACTTATTAACTATAAATCTTATTTTGGTGGATGCTTCAGGGTTTATACATCTTTAACTTATGTCAATCTGTCTTCAAACAATATTATACCTTTTTACACATAGTTTCTGAACCTTATGAAAGTATATTTCTGTTTTTCCTACTCTTGGTACAATTTTATCAGACATTTTACATCTACTACATTATTAACACCACACCATCTTGGGTTTTGTTCATTTGTTTTAACAGTCAATTCTCTCTAAAGAAAGTTAAATAACAAGAAAAAATTTTTTGTACTTGCCTACATATTTGACATTTTTAATGCTCTTTATGTTTTGAGTAGGTCTAGATTGTCATCTTGTCATTTTCCATTTGCCTGATGGACTTCCTTTATCATTTCTTATAGTGCCACAAAGAAAAATATAAACATAAATGACTACATACATATTAAAAACCTTTTAGTGAAAGAGACCATAAACAAAATTTAAAAAATAAAAGGCTGGGAAGAAATATATACAAAACATCAAAGTAATAATAATAGCAATATATAACAATAATAATAGCATTTATTAAATGTGTACCGTGCTATACCAGGCACTATATACTAAACACTCTACCATGCATTTTCTCATTTAATCTTTACAATAGCCATTTGAGGTAATGTATTATTATTACTCCCATTTTACAAATAAGGATATGAGAACAGGTAAGGGGCTAACGTCCCTAACAATCAGAGATCTAAAAACTCAATAAGGAAAAAATTGTTAATTGGTAATTCTCAGAAGAAACATAAATAGCTGATAAACATGAAAGTAATACTCAGCTTCTCTGATAATCAGGAGAAAGATCATTTTTAAGTTATTCATCTAGCAAGATTAAGAAGTGATATTACTAATATTGGCAAGATATGAAAGGCACACTCATATACTATTGGAAATATAGGTTGGTACATTTTTAGAGGGCCATTTAGCTTTTATCTGTTGACACTTAAAATATGCATATCCTTTGGCCAGATGACCATCATCTGGAAATCTTTGTACAAGTTCCTCCCCAAAAAATAATTTATCCATGTGTGTGTGTAATGGTTGGCAACAACCTGACCATCAGTGGCATGGTGTTAAGATGAACGATGGCGTAGCCCTGTGATGGGATAGCCAGTAGAAAGAAAGAGACTGTGAAGAAACAGGCAATTCACTGGACTAACAGGGGACTTAGTTGTTACAACTTCTCAATGGGGAATTTTCAATAAAGTCCTCAGTCAGACTATATTCCTTTCCCCTACTTGTATGCTATATTATATAGTAGAAAGAAAATAGTTGCAGAAAAATATGTGTAGCAGCACCCAATCGAATTTGTTGTTTTTTTTTAAGGATATATGTACATATTTGTTTGTGGCTAGAAGGTTTGGAGAGATGCACACCAAATTAACAATGATTGTCCCTAGAAAGAAAGGATTTTGACTTTTTAAATGTTTCCATTACTTGAAATTTATAATAACTTTTGTAATTGTATTTAAGAAAGAATTTTTTAAAAGATACATTAGTCGTAATTGCAAAGAACACAGAGAGAAACTGACTCAGAAGGAGCAAGACCATTTCTTCCCAAGGGTTTCCAAACCAAATGGATCAAGGTTCTTCTCTCCTGGGTTTAAATAGAATTTTAGTTTTAAAGGTAAGATTCTGTATTCTACCTGCATAGCTCAGCAGAATTTGAAAGAACTGAGCTTTTATGGACCCTGAGTTGCACAATACAAGACCAGAGAAGCTAGTGAACTCCATTGTAATCTTTACAAACTTGTATCAAAAATTAGGAATGACGTTTTAAATTGCAGTAGGGTTTTTGTTATAGGTTGTTGTTGTATATTTGAAATTATGATCAGAGTTACAATAATGAAATCTGTGCAATAGTTTTGAATAGGGAAATAGAGGCACATGCTTGCTCACAGGTTGACCAATATGATGCATTGATGTAGAACATTGCAGAAAGGCCGCTTCTGTCACCTGTTCTCATGTTTTAATACAATCTGCTAACAACAAAATAGTGTGTGGTGCATCTCTGTGACATATCTAGTAAAAATTTTTAGCTAAAAAGGTAGGATGGGTAAGTTACTTGGAAAAATATTATAAATTAGAATTTAAAAATTAGTTTCCGGACAGGAGACAAAGAAGAAGTCAATTACTTCTTCTTTCTAGGGAAGAATACTGTCATATGTTAGGTCTTCAGCAAAGTTTTCCAAGTAAATGTTATGATCTGAGAGATTTTTTCATTTGTTAAGGAAATGGTCTATCCTTGCCCATCTCTATCGATACAGAAGAAGAAAAAAAGAAAGAAAGAAAAAAGAAATGGTCTGGTAAACTATTTCTTTTGGAATTTTTTATCTGGAGAAAGAATTTAAAGCCAATCACATATTTAGTATACATCATGCAAATTGAGTATTTTATACATGGGTTTCCATGCTGCGTTAAACACTTAGGAATTTTCCTTTCTTATAATTAAGCCTTTTTTTCCTTTTCCAAATCACCCAGACCCAAAGTAATATTTTTATATGAAAAAAAGAAATCTGCCTTTATGGATTTATTTAAAAGAATTATTAGAGAAAAAATTGAGCAGTAATAGAATTTCAGCCTATAGTCTGTTACTTTTTATGTGCATAGAGGAAGGTGAAGGAATATTTAAATATATTGGAAAAATACCTATAAATAGGAGCCCTTACATAAAATCATACTTTACAAAGCGTGACTCTATATCTAAAGAAAATATTTTTACATGGCATTGTGTTGCACTCCATAATAAAAATTATGATAATATAAACATTTTCACTGAGTACTAACTGGATGCCAGGAATCATTCTAAGTATTTTCTATTCAGCATTTCATCTTAACAATCCTATGCTGTAAGTGTGCTTCTAACACAGTTTACAAATGAGGATCTGATAGGTTAAATAGCTCACTCAGGATCACATAGCTGCTAAATGACAGAGCCAGGATTCGAATCTAGGTAATCGGGCTCCAGAATCTAAGCTCATAACCACTTTGCCTGTAAGTAGGATGCAGGAGGGAGGACTTCATGGCTATGCAAAGTATGATGCTCCCATTATGTGAAAGGTGTGATATCTACCCTACCACCTATCATGGCAGCTGGAATTCTATCCTTAGAGATTCACTGCTTTGGGTTTACAAGACTTGGGAGTATCAGGGGTTTCCAGGTAAAATGCATATATTCATAGGGGAGTACTGCACGTGTAAATGGATAATGACAGTGTCCAGGAAGTCAGTAATGGAGCACAGCGTTGATGACTGTGGAGTAGCAAAGGAGGAAGGAGGGATGGACTTGAAAACTCCATGTAAAAGAAGAGAGGCCAGCAACTAACGAGCCTACAAAATCAGAGGATTTCTGCCAAATCGAAGAAGGATAACCAACAGTTTTTTATGACAGTACAATAATAAGATGTGGGGATTTTTTCATGTCTTTCACTGTATACCATTTACCATTTCCTTTGATTCTAGGAAATACAGCACAGCTGACACTACACCACATCGATATGTTATGTTAACTAAATGCCTTTCCTTTGTCATACAGCAATCAGCAGGCCTTTTTACTGGAGAATGTCCCTTGCAATAATGCGAGCTGTGAGGAGGCACATCGTATGTTTAAAGTCTACTGGGAGCTGACGGACCTAAATCAAATCAAGGATGCCATGGTTGCCACTTTCTTTGACATTTATGAAGATGTGAGTTCAGAGCTGTCCTGTGTGTTTGGAGTTTAATTGCCATCTACCTCATCTCACTTTAGCTTCATCCTATTTGCCCAGAAAATGTATACAGCATAACAAAAGCAAATGAGTTGATTAAGGAAAGCCCCTTTTAATGTTAAATGGCAGAGGAGACAAACTTACTGACATTATTGGTTGATCAGCAGAGTCAAATATGAAAACTCCTCCCTCATCTCATTTTTTGCTGATTTGGATTAAACCACTAAAGAATCTTGCTCCGAGACCAGCAAATCTGCATGTTCAGCAGTAAACAAAAGCACAGCCGACAGATAACAGACCCTTGAATCTGCACAAGATCACAGGAGAATGAGTTCAGTACTCACTTTTATCTTTTTGAACTGGAAGTAGCATCTGTTTCCACACATTCTTGTGACTTTGTCTTTGGTTGCTAAGTGACCTTGTGAAAAGCTTTCAGGGTTCTGTTTTTCCTCTTTCTAAAGGGAAAAGCCAGTTTTCCACTCAGAAAAATAATAAACTCTGGAAAAAAACATGTTAAATTCTGGAGTTAATATATCACAGTAAATCCTTGTAAGATAATTTATTTTAAAAAATAAAATGCCCCATAGGACATTTATGTCTCCATTTACCCCATTTTGGGTTCCATTTGTTTTGTTTTTTATAAGAAGCTTATTCTCAATTATAAGAATTATTCAGGCCCTTGTTTCCCTGTTTCTCCTGCTATCAAATCTCGTGTTATTTTAGTTTTCAGAAGCAATTTCCAAGCGTAAAAGTAACTGGCAGAAATATCACACAGAGAAAAATCAAGAGAATTAATTAAAAGTCATTTTTTGATTTTTGTACATCAAAACATCATAAAAGAAATTTGTAATTTTTTAAATCTGGGAAATAAATTTACTATAAAAGAGTCTGATAATTAATATCCTTTTTATATAAAGGTTCATACAAACCTAAGTCAAAACTCTCTGGAAAAATAGAAGATAGTCATTTTACAGGAAAAACCCAAGTTGCTAACATGTTAAAAAATATGATAAATGACCAACCTCATGAAAAGAGTCAGAGGAATGTCACTTTAAATTAGCTGACCTTTTTTTCTTCAATAAAATGAGCAAAGCTTCCTCCTTTTAGGAAAAACAAGTGGCAAAGTGCAGCAGTGGCAAGGGCAGGTAAAAGGTGCTCCCCCTGATGGCTGGAAAGGACCTGGTGGTCTATACCATGAGACTCTAAAAATTCATGCAGATATGACTGGAAGGAGATACACCAAAATGCTGACAATTACCTCCAGAGACTAAAATTACAGAGTTTTTCATTTTAT